GCCACCGCCGCTGTGCCTGGAGGAAGCGCGCGGTCTGGATTTTTTCCAAGCCGTTCTCTATTTCGATTCCAACATCTTCGCGTTTCTTCTGCGCCAAAGGGGCCCTCAGGCCGTCCGTCTCCCCCTTGGCTCTCCCCAACTTGGCGCGCCCTCCCTCCCATTCCTCCCTGACACTCCCACCACCCCCCCTCGGCTCGGCGGCTCGGCGCGGTGCTGCAGAAGACGCGCTGAGCCCTTTTGGATCTAATGCGCAGAGGAGGCTGGCCCAGAGCTCCCGGGCTCCCCCAAGGCTGAACTCCGTCCAAGGTGCCCGCAGGCTCCCTGCCCGCCTTCCCCATGCCAGCCCGCAGCTAGGGGCAGGGGCAGCGGCGGCTGGGGTTGGGGGTGGGTGGGGAGCTTTTGGGGAGGACAGGTCGCAGCTTGGCTATGGAAGGCTCCAATGGCTTTGGGATCGACTCCATTCTCTCCCACCGCGCGGGCAGCCCCGCCCTTCCCAAGGGGGACCCCTTGCTCGGGGACTGCCGCTCGCCCCTGGAGCTGAGTCCACGCTCAGAGAGCAGCAGCGACTGCTCCTCGCCAGCCTCTCCAGGAAGGGACTGTCTGGAGACGGGCACCCCGCGGCCTGGCGGGGCATCCGGCCCAGGTTTGGACTCCCACCTGCAGCCCGGGCAGCTCTCAGCCCCGGCCCAGTCGCGCACCGTCACCTCCTCCTTTCTGATCAGGGACATCCTTGCCGACTGCAAACCACTCGCGGCCTGTGCACCCTACTCTAGCAGCGGGCAGCCAGCAGCCCCTGAGCCTGGGGGCCGCCTCACGGCTAAGGCCGGGGAGGAATTTAGAGACAAGCTGGACAAAAGTGGCAGCAACGCCTCCTCAGACTCTGAGTACAAAGGTAAGAGAGAACGGGAGGTGAAAACTTGGGGGGTGCTGTATATCTAAAGATGGCATTGAAAACTCGAGTGCACAAATGCCAGGCCCTGCAAATGCTCGCCGGCGAGCTCCCCAGGGCTCAGGTTGACCAGTTGGTCTTGTCAGAACCTTTCAGCCAGTCTTGTGGTTGTGCCTCTGAGCAACAAAGAGTCTGGGGGGACAGAGTGGGGGCGGGGGAGGGATACCGTGAGCCTCACAAGAGAGTCCCCAAAACGCACAAAGCAAACTTTCTAAACTTCACCTGAGACCACCACCCTTCTAACCGTGCAGGTGGGCAGGAACGGGTTCCCGTCAGGCTAGTGGCTCTCTGGGATGGGACCTCGCAGAAGCGATGATGACCCCAAGGCTCTGTTTTATAAGAAAAAACATCTTGCAGGAAAATTTCAGCTGAGAACAGTTGGAATTTTCTGCCCTTTAATCTGAATTTCCAGACAGGAAGAGAAACTGGGCTTTCCCTCCTGTCGGGCCCAGTGTGATCTGGGTCTTGTGAACCGTGCGGGAGAAACACTCACTTCAAAGGAGAAACGGCAGCCAGGCAGCTGGCTGGGAGCAGGGTCAGAGGCCTGGGGGCAGGGGAGACCCTGCCCACCCACTCAGTGGTTCTCCTGAATTTGATTTTAAGTGTATTGAGCAATAAACTCCACGTTGTATGTGAGACCCAGGGTTCCTGAGAAGCCAGCCCTGTCTTCCCCTGTTGGGGTTGCTGTCTCTTCTTTCACCTTTTCACCTCTGTAAAGCATGTTTTTGTTTGTTCTTTTTAAAAAAATCCCATCTTACCCAAGGAGCTGAGATCAGGGTTAAGAGGAAAGGGGAAAAGAAGGAAAGAGGGAAAGAAGGAGGGAGGGAAGAAAGGAAGGAGGGAGGGAAGGAGAGAGGGAGGAGAGGAAGGAAGGAAAAACAAAAGAGGAAGGGAAAAAGGAAAGAAAATTAAGAAAGAGTTCCCTAGTTTGGTTGTTGACTTCTAGCCACTAGCTGCCGTTTGCCGAAGCCAGAGGCGCAAAGTTCTAAGGCAGAAGTCAAGAGACAGAAGGTGGGGAGTCTGGGGCTTCAAGGGGAGAGAGGCTTGCATCCCCAGCCAGCATAAAACTAGGAGCTAGCAGAAGTTGTTCAGAACCCTTTCAGTCACAGAATGGATTCCCAGAACCTTTTTCAAGAGACAAAATTGCCCTAGCAGGGCAACTTCTTTATTGTCTGCCCACCCCCACCTCCTAGCCCCTATTTGGACCAAGTCTTTGCAAAAAATTAGGAAGGCTCATGTAACACTCTCCTTCCAACCAAGAATTCGTTTCTGCATTTGGGCCAACCCCAAATCGAAACCCATTTGGGGTCCCACTCTGAATCCCATTTCTGTCACTCCCCCCACCC